GATTACTTGATGACCTTCTGGAAACTTTTAATCATATTTTATATTAGTAAATAGATTTTAAACTAAATCCGGCCTCACTTTTATGTTATTATACTACCTTAAAGCAGGAAATACTTTAGATACACTTTAGTGAAAGCTTAATACATTTATTAAAATATAAGTTTTTCTTTTTATCCCGGTTTTAAAGCTATCGAAAAAGGATTTAGAAATAAATTACTGTGATTTTTTTCTAGAATTACCCTGTTAGTTCTTATGAGTCTATGAGCAGACAGAATGTTTGTGGAAGGGAAGGAAGCAAGCAAAGATTCAGACATTTGATTTTGGACTTAGTGAATGTTCCGCTACATTTATATCTACGGCACTATATCACAACACCCAAATTTCTAAAGAGCATCTTTTAAAATTATGTGTCGCCAACGGAGACTCCATTTTTGCATAGAAATGCCCTTAGGTATTTTCCCAACTATAGCTTAGCAGCTTAAAAAGGAAACAAAAAGAAAAGGAATGCTCTACATTGTAAATTAAATTCTTCTCGCATTTCTCGGTTCGCTTCATTTTAGATATGTCAGCTGCTCTCGGTCGACTTAAGCTATTGCAATACTGGATGATCTTGAGCGCAATGGGATCAAGTGAGATAATTTCAAGCAGTAGACTGGTGTTGATGGAGGAGGAGAGAATCCCGCATAATCAAACTGTGCATCGTCAGATCGTCGCTGGAGAAATTCAGGTCCTGAGCGATCAAGGAGCGCACGATTTACGAAAACGAGAAGACGAAAGCAGTGTGCTACGCAATGACAGAACAGCGTCCGTGAGCTCAAACGTTGCTGCAGTTTTCCCAATTTTCAAGTCATTTTCTGTGTCATCCTAAAGATCGTTGACAGAACACCGACCTTTGTTTAGATAGTGTAAAATCATGAAGTTGGATTTTTTATAGGTAGGGGAACCTGGCTGACAATATAAAGGAAGGCTATTGAAAATTAATCTAGAAGCCAAACCCACACTCCCTTTAACAACGCCTTTCTTCCAAAAGCAAATGGATCATAGATAACTACAAAACTGGCACTTTATTTGCAAAAAAAAGTGGAGTTCTTCGTGGGCACCATCGCTCACTGGCTAGTGACGAATTTTAACAATCTTACCTGCTTTTCTCTAACCAAGTTTTTGTTTGTATAGTCTGCTTTCTAAAAAATGCCAGCCTCATTTTCTTTTTTCAATCTTTCGAATA